GCTTTTTAAAAAATTTAAAAAAAATTGCAACCCCCCCCCCCCCCCCCCCCCCCCCCCCCAGGATGATTGGGTTTTATTCAGTGTATTAAACGAGTCTGCTCTGGGGATGAATTAGAGTGCGTGCTGAAGAAGACCGTTGTCTGTTGAACTCTTACCCTCCTGTGTTCCTGTGAATGCAAGAAGGGAAGACATAATCTCATTGTTAAGGCAGCTGAATGTTGCTTTGGAGTTGATTCTCTGCCAAGGAGTGTGATGCTGGATAAGCCATTTACATCAATCTTTTAATAGTGGCCAGGTCAGCACTACTAATTTGTACGTAAATAGCTACAGTTGTCAGGTGGGTGATGAGTTGTGACTTGTGACCATCATAGCTCTTTGATCCAAATCTCCTAGTGTGCAGGATACTTTGTTCCCCCACTTGAAAATGTGGAAGAGGAGATGGGGAAATAAATATGTCTGTGGTTGCTAAAGTGTTCCTGTTGTAGCTGTTGCATTGTGTTCCTCATTCTATGTGTTCTCTTAGGAGTACACATGTGCATCTGCACCAAAGGCTGCTGGAAGCTGTATCCTTTGAATATTCAAAGAGTATGCAATGCTTAGTACTAGCAAGAATTGGGGTTTAGGTACTTTGAGGCTCTTCAGATCTTAATTTCTGACCTCCTCAGTTTACAGTCTGTAAAATGGGGGTAATATTCCTTCAGCTTATGGAACTGATGAAAACAGTGCTTGTGGACAGTCATGACGTTCTTGGTGCGAGCACCGCAGAAAAAGCAGTATCTCTTCATCTGGCTCTTTGTCTGCCTTTTCTCTGCTGAATTCAGTACTACGTCAGCTTTTCTTTTCTTCGCATTTTGTTTCACTTCATTTTACAGCTGGCAATGTAAGGGTGCTTGTCCTTGCCACATTGTTCAGCATTTACTGCAGTTTGCTTAGTTGCCGTGCATCTGTTGAGAAACAGGACTGTGGGTCAGTAACCCTTGAGGCACACAAGCTTGAATGAAACCCTTGAAAGCACACAAGCTTGAATGAGAATGATCAAGTTGGTAGGAACTTCTGGTTTTTGTTTCAGTGCAAATTTTGCATAAATGTGAACTATTTTAGTTGAGTTGGTAATTTTAACCAGTTTGTTAAATTGAAGTAAGATGCTTTTAGACTTAAATAAGAGCTCTACGTGGAAGAAGGGGAACAGGAGTGTGTCTTAGTGGGTGGAAGAGGGGACCAAGATAATTGCTCCATCCCGCCTTTCTTCCTCCTCTTCACCCATTTGAAAGTCTATGTTCCTTCCTCCCTCTTCTCTTCCCCTTCCAGCCTTACGAAGTGTAATGCTTACTTTGAACCACGGGGAAAATCAGGCTCGTGGGACCAGCGCAGTCTAGGTTGTGATCAGTGGACAATGTTGTCTAGATGGGCAAGGAGATGATCTCTTCATGGCCACCTCTGTCCTTCCCTTTATGCGATGGTAGGCCTGCCCAAACTGGTGCGATATACTGCAGCATGTGCATAAGTGGCCAGGATATGGCACCCAAGGGAGCCCAGCATGGTCAAAAGAGGCATAGGGCAGTGCTGGAGCAGGGAAAGAAAAGATAGTTGCCTTGCTGGCATTTTGTTCTTGGCAGTGGGCATGGGAAAGGGGGGGAGAATTGAGAGGGGAAGGTGGAGGGTGGGACTGGAGTGAGTAGAGAGAGCCAAAGAGGTTGTGAGAAGGGAGAAGGACTGGGGAAAGGTGCAGAAAATAGGTAGTCAGAAAGGGACAAGGGCTAGCTTCTCTGTGTAAGTTGTCTGGTGATTTGAGTGGGAGGAAGGGAAGAGGTAGCACAGGTTTTTATGTGTCGGGGTGGACCGAGGGCTCTAGAAACTCTCAGTACAGCCAGTGCCATCCCGCAAACCTGCCATTTGCATGTCTGCCTTTCCTGTCTGCACATCAGCTCAGTCTGGGCAGACCCTCTCTTCCAGGGCCATTTGCCTTAGCAGCAGGTGACATTGAGGCCTTTCTAGGAAAGAAATAAGGTTGTCTTATTTGCGGTAGCTTAATTTGCAAAGAGAGTACATATGGCTCTGAGATGAGATGTAGCATGCTGGAGCCCATCTTTATAGGCAGTAACGATGCTCCTCTCAAGCACAGGACACACTCAGTTTTCCTGTTGGAAAAAAACCCAGCTCAGTTGCCCAGAGCTGGTTCCAGCTGATGAGTAGTGTGGAAAAGTGGTGAATCAGGCTTCAAGCTCAGCTCCAGTGCTGGCAGGGGCAGCGCTGCTGGCGTCCAATTTACTAGCCAAAGTTTAGCCATCATTTTGCCTTGTAACTGACCATAAATTTCACACATTTGAAACATCATTTGTATTACAGCCAAGTAGAATTAATTTTGAGCACAGTGGAGGCTGTGTTTTTAATAAAAGGTCACGTTTATAAGTAATCAAGTAACACACACATAGTGGTGGCTCCTACTGGAAGGACGGAAACAGCAAATTATTGTTGTAGTCATAAGGAAGCTCATCAGGCAGTTCGGTGTTTAGTAACAGCATAGATAAGGCCTGATCCTGTAGGGTGCTGGATGCTCTCAGCTCCTTTTGATTTTTGACCGGTTTTTGAGGTACCCCAGCACTGCACAGAGTTGAGACCCTGAAATATTAAGCAAAGAGCAGAGTGTAGGAAATAAAGTACAAGAACAACTTGCTTGTTCTTAGTAATAGCTTTTGTTGCCCAAAAACTTGGATATGTTTATTTCTCGTTTGTGATATCCAGTTATAATAACTCCAGTGGTGGTCTCTGGCTTTATTGAATTTATAATATGTGCTGGCTTTGGATGTGCAGTTTCAAAGTCTTCTGCTGATATGAACCAGAATTTGTGCTCTGCTTGGTTCATGCTATGTCTTCTGTCACTGCAGTGCCTATATAAACACGGTTGATGGTATGTAGTAGCTTGGAGTGAGAGGCTGAGATAAAACCCCAGCTGTTTCTGAAGATACCGCCTGCTGCTATCAAGAGGTTCGGGTTAGCAATTTTAAGTGTTACAAGGACCTGTAGGACCTATGTTTTTGAACTGCTTTCCTGAAGAGAAGGTGGAAATGTACATGCCTGGCTATTTTAGGAATTGTTCTTTCTTGAGTGTGCTTATAGTTTATGAAATGCGAGCCCAGGGAATATGGATAATAAAGCTGAATTATTGTCCTTGAGTGTTTGTAGACTAAGGATACTGTGCATGAGTGAGTCGTGGCAAAAACTGAATTAGGTTTAAAATATCAGCAACAACAGAGAAAGGATGGCCCAACCAAGTGTCAGTCATGTCATTATAATTCTTAAGGGATTTGGGTACAGCTTAAGATTTGCCTTTTTCACTGACGTGGACACAACACACCAGGGAGGCAGTGGGCTTGCTCAAGTCACCAGCCAGCTTCCGCGATGCCTCCTGCTGACCAGTCCATGAAGAAATAGCTATCTGCCAAACAAGCTGTGTGTTTTATTTTGAAGGCCCGGTGGGCCCAACCCTTCCTGCCCAGCAGCCACGGCAGGCTCCATTCCTGCTTGGTGCCTGGCCTGGGAAGAGATTGCTTGCTGCCCCATGAGGGTGGTTCTTTGTAATTGGTTTGCAGGGAATGCTATGCGAGAGGATCTGGCTTTTTTTTTAATTGTTTGTTTTATTAAAGTTTGTTTATTAAAGCAAATGCTGGTCACAATGGAAACATGTTTTTTGAAGCCTGTGTATTGCCAAGAGAGCAGGGTAGAGCACTGATCAGGTTATTGCTTCCCCGGAATCAGAAGTACACATGCAGCTCTGCAGGCCCCATGGGTGGTGTCCCAGCGTCTCCTCTCCTCCCTCTTCCAGCTGAGCTCTGCCAGATCTGCTGTAGTGACGGCTCCCCACGGCTCTACAGGCAGGATGGTGAGGTGGGAGTCGCTCTGCCTGTGGTGTCTCCAAAAAACAAATGTTAGATCTATATTGCAGGCTGCAGGGGCACCCAAGCTAGCTTTGAACAAGCCAATTTGAGTACCTTTGGCAGTCTAGCTGACGTAGAGGGGTCTGGATGTGCTCATTTATCCCACTGAAAAGTATGATTGTTTGCCCTTAGATTACTTCTCTGCTAAATTAGGGCAGAAATCCAAGCCTGGCTCTAGTACCCAGGGCGGTTTAGCCAGCTTTGCAGCATACATGTACCCAGTCAGTTGTGTTCATTAATTAAAAAGTTTTAAAACTGCCAGTGTTGCCTGTAAATTAAAAATAATGCTTGTCATATTGAGTTCCTATACCATTCTCCTATGAGTTGACAGGAGAACATGACGCCTGCAGCTGTCATGAAAAGTGTGGGCAACAGCCCTAGTAGCCCTTTCTAGTAAGTTCGTGCCTGGTAATTTACGTATTTGTAACATAAACCGTAATATGTCATCTTGCCTATCTAGGCCAAGAGATGGCTTATCTTGTGAACCAGGGAAAATGAATTTTAAAACCAAGATAATCTTGTTTAGAATTTATGGCGTTTTGGAACTGGAGCATGTCATCACTATATAATTATATGTTTGTATGTTGTAGTTTCCCTGCATGGAGTGTAACACGAATAATCTCAGGCTTTCTTAGCAAACAGTCCAGGATAAGGGAATTGTGTGGATGAGGAAACAGCGTGGAACACACTTACTTACCAGTGAGTCAAAGACTGAAATTCCCTCTATAACCAGGAAAACTGTCTGGCAAGTTACATGCTCAGAGCTGCAGTGGTTTGTGTTTGTTGAAACACTTCTCAGTGAGACTGGTGTTATTCAGTCTCATGGCTAGGACTGGCTTTGGACAGCTGAGTGAAACAAATGTTCCTAGGGAGAAGCACGAACTGAAGGCGTGAGGTTAAAACAAAATATCCTTTGCTGGCCTGGAGAGAGGGTAGCTGAGTGGTGATTCTTAAATTTTGCTTGTGAGATCAGTGTTATAAGCCTTGAGCAATGTGTAGTTAGGTCTGTGTCTACAGGGACGAGTGTGTGTAGGTGCCAGTGTCGTTGTAGCCATAGCAGGGATTTCTGGTTGGTTTGTGACTTGGCTCAGTCTTGAAGTAGACACCCTTTGAACTGTTCTTTTTTTCTGTAGCTCTCTGTATTCCACTCTTGCTGGAGACCCAGACTTGGCAGCTCGCTGTGATCCAGCTGGATGAACTGAGATTTCTGAGGGGAAGATTTAGGATGGACTTTTCTACTTAGGAGAATTCATCAGTGTCCCGTTGCTCATTGTCCTGCGTGCTGCAGGCTGCTACGCTGAAGAAATGTTCTTGCAGGGCTCTTCCGTTGCCAATCCTCAGATCGCAGGTGGGAGTCTCCGCCGACTGCAGGGTCCACCATCAGCCAGGGACTTCACAGTGCCCAGGGTTCAGGTGTTTCCTCCTCAGCCTTTTGTGTTGCCAGTGGAGAGAGAATTCCTCACCCCTTCTGTGGCAGATGTGTTTTGGGACAGTAAGGATGTGCGAGATAAACAGGATGGGTTGCTAAGCAATTCTGTGTTGGGCGATTGTCACCATATCAACTGACTGAGAATGGCCAGTGGCTGAAGACTGCTGTCTGTCACCACCTGCCCTTTGCCACCCATGGGTTTCTGGCTTGCCCTTTTCTATTTTGCTTCCAGTCTGCCCACTTAAAGAAGAAGCTATCTGAAGAGACCTGCACTACTGGTTATTTGATGCAGATTTTGCTAAAATGCACTGACACATACATGTAGTTCTGGCTGGTGGTAGTTGTGCATGAATAAACATAACTACCCGTGGCTGTGATGTGGTATCAAGCTACTGTAGATGTAAAGCATGCTTTTTAATAACTGTGTATGGTGAAATGGTTATAAATGCATGACTATGCAGTGTAGACAGGGTCTGATATATCACTCATTCGTACATTTGTAATTAATTGTAAGAACAAGATTGTTCTTTGCATGTGTTCTTTCTTTGCTGCCAAGCGCGACAGAGAACTATAACGATCTTATACCTTAAGCTTGTAATAAAACATTGTTGGTAACCTAGCAAAGAAATTTCTTAATTAAGTTTGCTACACAAAATCCCATAATGCTTTCTAAGATTTTTTTTTTTTTTTGCTAGGACTCCTTAATGACTTTTACCTCTGAATATAATCAAAAACAAAATTTCTGATGTTTAAGAAACATTTCTGCATATTTTTTCCATCTGGATATAATGGAGCATAATTTAAGACTATGGGCAGAGGAGGGGGTAAATGATGCATGTAATGATTGTTTTAACATTTACAAGAAAATAATTTATTTAAATTGGATTAAGCCTTAATATTATCACACTTTTCTACCTGATTTAACATGGGAGTTGGGGGGGGGGAGAAGGCGATTTCATGGTGAAGTGTTTTAAGTATTTAATATTTTCTTTTCTTTTTGATCATCCAGGCATCCTGCCCCACAGCCATGTAAATTTTCCTTCATACAAATGTTCATTGCTGTCTTTTACATTCCTCTGCTGACAGTGAAGAGGTCATGCTAAATCAAACTGATGAAGAAACTGGACATCATCTTTACCCAGGATGCCCAAATTAACTCTACCAAAACAAGAGGTGGGGGAACAGCAAAGAATAATTTGTTTTTGTATATTACTGTTTTTAAGTACTCCATGTTGGTATCTCTGGTATACATATGCAGAGTGAGCCAAAGAAGTAAGTACCTGCTTAGGACATGAGACCTCAGGGGCTTGTGGCTTTTTTCTATCCCCAGCAGTTTTCCTACCAGCCTAATTATTTCTGCTGAGAATGGGTCTCCAAGTCCAAACTTTATCATCTTCATCTAATTCTTTTCCCCGCTCCAGGAGAGGAATCAAGTGTGATAAATTCTGTATCCCAGCTTTGAGTCTACTGATTGAAGTGTTTTGTTTATAATAGATGCTGTTCTGATGAGGAAAAAAAAACCCTCCTACAGCCAAAGGAGCTCCATTAGTGGCAGAACCAGCAGAGCCTGGTTTTCCATAGGTCGATGTCTCATGGTTTCATAGTGAATTACAATTGTCTCTTTTTTTTCCTACAGTGGGGTCATTTGTTAGGTCTCTCCCATGTGGATTCTTTAATGTTTCATAAAGTTTAAATTCACGTTGCAGCTTTTTTTTTTTTTTTTTACAGTTAGGACACATTTAGAATCTCTTTCTTCTCCTAGCTATTTATTTTTTACAAAGAATGCGGGCATTTGAGACCTCTGTATCTTTACTGCATTTTGTTGAAATAGAAAAAAAATTAACTAGAAACGCAGTCTGTGACTACACAAACTTCAGTGTCCTAGCAAACCAAGCAAAAATGGTAGCATTTGCTAAGTACATTGCCTGGTTTGGGTCTGTATTTAAGTTCATACCTTCTCGGAGAAGTAAGTTTGGATTACTAGTTAGTCCTGTTCATCCAGTAGAGCTACTGTCATCAATGGAAGATGTTCTGGCTTTATGAAGCATCAAAGAACAATTATGTAAATTCCTATTAAAATGACAAATTTCCCTCCAGTCCCATTTCCATTAGAGTCAATTGTAAGTCACTCATCACCTTCAAGAGGAGCTAGATTTACTTTTACAACTGTAATCAGTCCTCAGAGATTGGGGCAGGCTTATTGTCACTAACATACTGTTAATCACTGCTATGTAAACGAGAAAAGATTTCTTCCCAATTCCAGTTTCAGTTCACAAAACTGGGGGGGGTGGGGGGTGAAATCTCATATTTGTAAATTGAGCAATTTACCTCTGTGTATTATGGTGATATAACACACATGGAATTCCATGATACCTTTTTTTCTGTAATGGATTCACTTTTAAAACTTAAAAGTACACTTCAGATAAATGGAAGGTTAAATTCTAAACACATTCTTAGTGTGTGCATAAGCTTCTGTTTACTTGGGAAGTATAATATCAGTAGAGTACTTCTCACTTTAAAGTTTATGATTTTTTTTTTTCTCCTCCTTAATTCTTTGAGGTGTCAGTACTGAGAAAGATGAATCATTTATTAGTGGGAGGCCTGACACATGATGAAATCACTATCTGACACTTCAATGACTTCCAGTGTTGTTCTGTGAACATTCAGCAAAGCGCAGATGATGTGATGTTGCAGTTCTGTGGGTAGTGTTTTCTTTTTTTTTTTTTTTTTTTTTTTTTTTTTGCAAATGGATGAAATGCTTTATCATCATAGTGTGTGAGAACTTCCCCATTTGGTATGAATAGCCTTTGCCTATTATTAAGAGTGATTCAGAAGCTCTGATGTAGGGAAAAAATAGAACACATCTGCAACTGGCAGAGAATATCTTTATATTTCTTCTGAGAATCAGTGAAAAAGCAGAACTCAATCCACTTTTTTGGGGGGAGGTGGGGTGGAGTGGGGAGTGGTGGTGGAAACGGATAACATTCTTGACTTGAGTGTTAATACTGTTTGGAGCATTATCCTTATAACAGAGCCTGCAAATCTCCATTATGTTACAAATGAAGTAAGTGCACCTAAGGGGCAGTTCTGTGCTGGCCACTGGATTACCCCCTGAACAGGGCAGTGGTCTCAACCCAAAGACATTTAGCGTATAAATTGGCACCTGACAATAAAGCAATTAGCAATAAACAGCTGGCTGTTTGACAATAAGCTGAACAGTTTTTTACTTATTTTAAAAAAAGTAATTTTAGTTCTAGTGTTGTCTTCACTCCAGTAAGCAGTTCTGCAAGCATATAGGTTAGACATTTTGCTTTACTGAACTTACCCTTGACTACATCTTTCTCTCTTCCTTCTCCTTCTCTTCCCAATATAAATGTTTTCAATTTGCTTACCTCCCCACCCAGCAAACGTTGCAGTAGTTTGAAGCTATTAAGATATTTCCCTGCCTCACACAATTTCAAATCTGAGCAATGTTACTCCTGCTCCTTTCCCAAGCCACATCACTCAACCATTCAGATGTGCTGCTGTAAGTGAAATGTCACAGGCTGGGAACTTTTAGGTATAGACATGCTTCCCAGTACTAAGCCTGGCATTTAAAAGGTGGCTTCAGGGTTTTCTTCTAACTTAACTGGTTTCTCCCTTTGTTTCCTCAGAAGTTCAAGTGCTTTTTCCAGTGAATCCAGTCTTTCCTCTCTCATTCCTTGAACTTACGTTTTGTTTTTTCTCTCGATTGCTTTATATAGTCCTCATCACTCTGCTGTCTGAGCATCTCAGGTTCCTAATGTGTCTATCATCATAATACTTTGCAGAATGTACTCTTCACAGATGTATGTGGGTCCAGCAGAGCTAAATACTTGTGGAACTAAGGTGGTACAGGAAGACTGTGGAAGACCTGGTAATTAAACCCACCTTTCAAGTAAAGACACAAGGTATATCTTGTGGGATGTTCTCCCTCTCTAGTGGCTAATTTGCGTATCCTTGATTTTGCCCTCAAGAGTTTTGGCTCTAAACTATTCCACAGCTACTACTGGAAAGAAGCAGGTGACCTTTGGAGGTAGTAAAACTCTCTTAATTACATGTTTGCTGTTTGATATTGTGTGTTCCTCTCCATCTTTGTGCCAGCATGCACACATCAGATGTGATGATGTGTGCAAACAAGTCAGCAAGTACCAAACCTACTCAGGATCTGATGAAAAACCTGATAAACTTCAGAAAGGGCGAGAAATTATTTAAATTTCCAGTCCAGATAGATGTATCCCTTCCTTTACTATCTTTCCTTGACATTTCTTTACGTTCAAATAATCTGTCACATTGGGCTTGGATCCTGGTAGTTCATCACAGCTTCCCAGAGTGCCCTGGCTGTTGTGGGATGCTTGGCAGCTTGGCTTTGCCCCTGAGAGGGAGCTTCCCCCGGCTCAGCATGGAGGACTGCTCATCAATGCCTGTCCTGCCACAAGAATGGAGAAACTCCCTGTAGGCTTCACAAATCACATGAGGCCATTTCCACAAAACCCTGTGTTCAGGTGTGTCTGAGGAAAGGGCTACTGATACCAAGGGGAGGCTGCCCACCCCTTCTATCTGATGAGGAAGCTCTTTTTAGGACCACTCCCAAACTTGAGCTAGGCAGAAAGAGCTAGATCAGCACAAGCGGTTTAAATAGCAGGCGTTGGCTAGCCCAGCCTGTAGCGCGGTTCCAAGATGGTTTAAGCTGATCCAAACCAGAGCTGTTGCAGCCTGGCTTTGCATCATGAATATCCCCACCCCATCTCTTGCACCAGCGCTGGTGCTTGTTTGACTCCACAGGGAGCTGAACTGGCAGGGAAGTGTTATGGTTTTTCAATTTAGTTCTGTCTTTTCTGAACCAGTTCAATGTGGGACTAGACAAGCATCCTTGCTGGCACGGGAAAGGGCAGCAGCTGGGGATGGAGGAAGTGCGGCAGCCCCAGTTTAGATCGGATTAGACTGTCATGGAACCACGGTCTCATTTGGAGTAAACCCATGAGCATCTCTGGGAGATTTGAGGGGACAATTCCCCCAGGCAGGAGGAGGGGCATTGCGATAGTAATCTCTCCCTGTAGCGCAGCTGATCCAAAGAGAGTATTTGTCTGCAGTCTAAAAGAAATTACAGAAGGACTCTCAGAACACATTTAAAAGACCTAAAAGTTTGCTGTCATTGTTCTGTAAAACAAGTTAATTCAACATAGGCTTAAAAGATGTTTCTTTTGCTTCCATCCCTCCCCCGGCAGCCTGTCCCATCCTCTTTTTGCAAGCCATGAGATATCCTCCTGCCCTGGCCCTATTAGGTCATGGTGTGATGGGCACCCTGCCAAATGAAGCTGATCTTATAAGCTGCTACTGCCCTGGTTGTTGCTGGGACTGTTTGCATGATTTTTTAATTCACTTCTGTGGTGCCCTCATTTTTTTTTTCCTGCCCGAGATTGAAGTGGGAGTGTGTTTAGCTGTGAACTACACTGCTGCAAATTCATGATCTATTAGCACCTTTTCAAAGCTCCTCTGTTCTCTGAAGAATTAGAACACAGCTATAAAATATCTCTCAAGGCTATTGCACAGTGTCATTGTTTTGGGCTTTGTTTTTAAAATTGTTGCTAAGATAGGTTTGTTTGTGTGCTTGCTTGCTTTCTCCATGCTGTATTTAGATTTGAAAACAACAGCATCAGTAATAAGATACTGATGAACCTAAGGTAGATGTGACAGCGTTACGTGGATAGTGCATATACAATTTGTCAAAGCAGACGAAATAACCCCACCTTGGGCAATTTAAAAAAAAAATACACTACAGTACTTGTCAGGTCTGGGTGACTACTCCATAAACATATTACCTGCTGGCATACAAATATCACTTTGTATAAGGCAGTTGCGCAGTAAAAGAAACGGGAGAGGCGGGGCAAAAACACTGATCTTGCAGAGTTCTACAAAAAGCCAAGATCTCGGATAGAAAATTTTAAAATAAAAATCACCCTGATTCAGGGATAACTACATTTATGTGTGAACTATCCACAAGTTCAAGTTTGATTTGTATTTCTATTCTGATAAAATAAGCGATATTGTAATTTTTATTGGTATATTTTGGAGAATATATCTATTGTCATCGTTAGGGATACAAAATTAGGCTAGAAATAGACTCTTTTTCATTAACTCATTACAAAAATTTC